GTAGCTCATTTGAACCACAAATAGTTTTAATCCAAATTTCAACGTATTGCAAGGATTATATTAAATTTACAAACGAAATTGATCATCATGTTATGTCAACGTTGAATTCAATTACGGACAATGACAATATCGTAAAAGTGAATGCTACGTCTGATTGCACTCTAAATCAAAAGTATTTGTATTTAGATAATTCATGATTGCGCACAAGATATCAAGTATTTACGTCGTGATTTTAATTTACTATTTACAAATGTATTTGACACCAAAGCAGGCGCTAAAATGTTATATTCAAAATCCAAGTATTCTTTTTTATTGGATAAATATTTTAGTATTGATACAAGTGAATTAAAAGATAATTACCAATGTCACGATTGGTTGTCGAGGTGAGCTTTTTCTTCGAAATGGCACGTACAAATAGCGAAAAAGTGCTAACGAATGATGAGACTACTTTAAGGATTTGCGAGTATTTTTGAACAAGAGAAGTTTTTCAGAAGCGCTCTCGCTCAGTTTCAAGAAGTCACCTTCCTTTTTCTTAATATGCTATTATGCTAATCTCTTTTTAGACCTTATGATCGACAAACATTGCTTTATGCTCAATTGGATTGTCATTTCCTGATAAAAATACGAGCCAAACTTATGTACGAAATTTAAATACGTTAAACTTCCTTTGTTATATATATTTATGTTTCTACAGTGTTCTGTTGCAGTTTGAACGAGCAGAAAATACGTTATTAAAGGAAACATCAATGATGTGATAGTAGCAATGCATATTTTAATGATGTTCAAGTGATTCCATTTGAATCATCGATATCCTGAGTGACTTAAGGGGGGGTCCACCTCCCATATATGTACCTTCAAACTTTGTCAGTTTAAAGAGGACACCTGACTACATATACATGACACCTTTTGTTTGTCCAGAAGGGTAAAGAACAAGGTAGAAAAGAACGGTTTACTAACATTACTAAACAATTATTAACAAACTATTTTGACATTACATAACAAAATGTAACTGGTATTCATGCTTGAACATGAATCACAACAACAACATGAATCACAACAAGACCATGAATCAGAACAACTGAAGTAACAGTTAGATGATTATTTTTATAATGAACCTACTTATTGCGAATGATTAGTTCATTGACTAACTGCAATAACAGCTCGAAATGACGCAAGACACTAGCAAAAGCTAAGCCTCACGGTTGTGTGCTTAAACGTTTTCGATGTTCAAAAGTTTGTGTATTTATGTAACTTTGTATGCTACAATCAATGAGCGCAAAAAGGAGCATTTTAATTTTTCTTAATGTTATCGACTCCGTTACGTGTGCTTGATTGGTCTCTTAACGGTGTCGAGCTCTTAGTACAAAATAAAAACCCCATTTTACTACCTTTTCGATTTAGACATCTGTCATAAAATGATAGCATAAAAGGATGACACGATTAAAAATTGTTCGCAACCGTGGGTCATGAACCATTGATTTCAAAATAACTGCTAATAGCATTGACATTGAGATTGGCCAAATGATCATTGCCACTGCGAGATGCATTGATTAGAATATATATATCCCTACCCTGTAAGTGAACCAGGGATCTCACATTATTTTTTTCGAATGTGGGACAGAAAGTTTCGAATAGCGGAAGCTTATTTTAACGAAATAATGTCATAGCAATCTAAAATACCCGTGGACTCAACTAAAGTCACATATTTGTAAAAGACTAATGATTTATTTCACTTTTCTGCTAGCGAGAACGGTCTCGACTGTTTATTTAAATAACAAAAACAAAAGTTACAAAAAACTGTGCATTACAACTAAGCTAGTTATTGACAAAAAATTACACTGCCGTTTTGAGAATGGGGGACGAAGCTGCTGAATTTTGTTTTTGTTGTCGTCAATAATTGTTTGGTTGTTGTTTGTTTCTCACTTTCACAGTCTACATTCTCACGAGCAGTCGTTTCTTCTTCTAGTTCTAATTTAGAGTTCATTTTTTCAAAGCTAATTTTTCAAATCTCAAACAAAAGATTTTCTCCTTTCAATTAGCTTTTATCGACAAATTCATATCACACCGTCTGATAAACTCTGAGACGCGTACGACAGAAAGAGTGATGTTTTTGTAGACGGCTCGAATCTCAGAATAACTCAATTTGCTACAAACTATTCAAACACCTATATGATAATGATCTTTATGACAAGATATGCTACAGATGGCGTAGATCTTTGCCGATTAGATGATAACCCGCCAATCAATACTTTTCCTGTCAAATATAGTGCATAGGTAATATGACTTCAAAAAAAATTGCTAGTGGGGGACATGTGAGAACCCTGAAGTGAACTGTATCAGCGCAAGAGAAAAGACAAGAGAAACTATCAAAAAAATTTTTGTCGTAATCACAGACCAATAATGTGGAGAGAAAAAAAGAGACGAAAAAAATATACCGGTGACGACTGATATATCAAAGAGAACGTCGTCTATGTCTTTGATGATGATACCTTAGAAATCAGAGCCGTTTTAAGAAATTTGTGGCCCCTGTGCTGATTATTAACGTTTTCAACACATCAATTTGTATTTTTTTTAATAATAACAAAATGCAAGGCTTAAGCCGTTCGATTGGGCCCCTGAGGCAACCGGGCCCCTGTGCTATAGCACAATTAGCACATAGGATAAGAAGGCACTGTTAGAAATGATAACGGACGTTATCGGTAGTAGTCCAGGTTTCAAGCAGTATAGCAGAAATTACTGCGCCAACAACAACAAGAGCAGCAGCAGCAACAAACTAAAATGGATAAGAAGAAAGTAGGTAATCCTGATTAATTTGTTAGTAAGCCTATTGAAGAAAAGTTCTTTTGCCGAATGAATTGACAAACAAGAGCATTTGAACTACTTATAAACTAACTAGGACGATGCACGTCAGGGATTACTTAGAAACGGACCACAATATAAAGAAATGAAACCAATCAACTGGAAGTATGCATATGAAAGTACAACAGAAGATGTGAAGGAATACATTTTTAGAGTACGGAAACAAAGAAAATATATCAGACGTTCATTTTCGCTCTTGGAAAAATGCGTTACTACAACTCGCTCCTGATAGAATAATCAAGCTGAAAATAAATGACATAATTGCAGAGCATATAGTTTGTATAACCAAAATTGAAAGGAGCGGAAAGTTTTAGATAAATTAGTTTTAGATAAATTTTCCCAGTTTGTAGAGGACACTTCGAAGTATATGTTCTGAAGTTTTTTTCGGCTTATGGACATGGCTTGGCTGCGAAAAAAATTAATTACTTAAAAAGATATTGTTAAATTTTTGAGGACGGGACTGTTAGAAAAAAATTCTAATGAATGAATTGGATTCTAAAACTCTTAAGCTAGCCAGTCTTGTAGTTCGTGAAAAAAATTCTCTGTCAGGTGAGGTATAGCTTAAATTCTTTTGTTGAGTCCTTATTTTGCAAATGGGACTCTAAGCTAGTAGAGTGGGCTTAATTAACCTTAATTAGTGCTAATTAGTCAATAACAGGAAGGAAAGAACAAAAATTTTTACATGTTTTCTCGTAGTAAATATTCTCCACACATTTCTCTATCGATCTAGACAAGAACCAAGTTTTTATGATGAATAGAGAATGGACAGGAATTCTTTTAATAATAGTCCCTTGTTCAAAAACTTTACAATATTTTTTAAAAAGGAACTGATGACACTCGAAAGAAGAAAAAACTCATCTATTGCGTAAACTGTAAAGACTGTAATAAGAAGTACATGGGAGAGACTAATCGTATGAAAACGACCAGAATGATAGAACACAAGAACGATATTCGTAAAAATAAACTACCATCACTTATTGCATTCTAGCATTCTAAGAGTGCAATTTTATCGGCCCAAAAACCGAGTTCTATAAACAAAAGAAGCTTCTTTTGTGTTATTCTTTCGTTTTACATTATTCGATGTATATATATATATACACTAAATTTGGTGACACTCTAAAAAATGCTTATTGTCTGATGATGGTAGGAGCGACCTATCGAAATATCACAATAAATTAATCTATGATTTATAATCATGTTCGTGGCAGTTTTGCACTGTCTATATAAACTCTTACGAATGTCTCATATCGTTTGAATAAATTCACGCTGAAAGAAATGCGTAAATACACGAAAAGAAAAGGAAAGAAAACAACTCACAGAAGAAAAAAGATTTCAGAAAATTGAGCAACAAAGTAATGTGATTCATAAGAAAGATAAATCAAATCATTTTAAGAAAATTAAATTTCAACTTTTTAGAATTAAAAATATTTTGGACAGCAATAAATTCCTTTCGCAAACAAAAAAGCGATTATCCAGCAACGATTATTCAGCATGT